AAGACCATCACATTAGAAGCTGAGGCGTCGGACACAATTGAAAATGTCAAAGCTAAAATTCAGGACAAGGAAGGAATCCCTCCGGATCAGCAGAGGTTAATTTTTGCCGGAAAACAACTCGAGGACGGTCGCACACTCTCCGACTACAATATTCAGAAAGAGTCGACCTTGCATTTGGTTTTGAGGCTTCGCGGTGGTATGCAGATCTTTGTAAGAACACTCACTGGTAAAACGATCACTCTGGAAGTCGAAGCATCAGACACAATTGAAAATGTCAAAGCGAAAATTCAAGACAAGGAAGGTATTCCACCAGATCAACAGAGATTGATTTTCGCCGGAAAACAACTTGAAGACGGCCGAACGTTATCCGATTACAATATACAAAAAGAATCAACTTTGCATTTGGTTCTTCGTCTCCGTGGTGGTATGCAGATCTTCGTCAAGACTTTAACAGGAAAGACCATCACATTGGAAGTTGAAGCATCGGACACAATTGAGAATGTCAAAGCTAAAATTCAGGACAAAGAAGGAATTCCTCCTGATCAGCAGAGATTGATTTTCGCTGGAAAACAACTCGAGGACGGTCGCACTTTGTCCGATTATAATATTCAAAAGGAATCTACACTTCACCTTGTACTTCGGCTTCGAGGCGGAAATATGTAATTCCATAATTGTGATCTCTGCTAAATATCTTGTTGCACTGATACTTTATTATAATAATTTTTATTACAAATTTTTAATTTTATTTGTACCTGGAAGTCTCGCGTAGCAAGTTTTGACAAATAAAAGAATTTATTTGCGAAATGTAATGATGTGTCTCATCTTATGGCCTTGTCATTTTATAATCATTCTATTGTAAAATTGCTTTTTAAATACATTATAATTATTTAAAATTTTTGTATTACATTATGTAATGAAATATCCCATATAATTTGAGCTTGCATAATAACTTGAATAATATTTAAAATTTATTGATAGTGAATCTTACTTAAACTATACTTAAATTTTTTAAGATATTTTAAGATTTTAAGATGAATATAAATAAGAATGAGCAAATTATAAAAGCTAATATAAGGATCATAGATTTGTATTATTTTTATCAGTAAAAATAATTGATTTTACTAATAAGAAGCTTTTGTCGATATTTTGATCTATGCACTATTAATTTATTTTTCATATTTAAATTAAAAATATATATAATCATGTAAAAGGATGCTGTTCAGGATTTGTAGTTTTGCTTGAATTTAGATACCAATATGTGTGTTGATATTCATACTTATCTTTTCTTCTCCCTTCTTTTTTTTATTGCGACTGATACGATTGATTTCAAAGACGAGATTACTTTGAAGTGAAATTGCTACTTATGTTACGTTTGATACATATATTTAGAACATTATAAATTTATTTTTATATGTTATTATTTTACACATATTCATGTATTTTTAATAATTATATATAAAATATATATTTTATATAATTAAAAAGGCAATAAATTTGGGAATATGACAAATAGTATCTAAACAAAACTACAAATTCTGAACAGCACTTAATGTAAAATAAGTAAAGAAAAAAATTGCAGGAAAAGTATAAAAAATATAACTGAGAAAAATAAAAATCTGGAAATGGTACTTATAATTTGGTCTTATATTTATAAAATTGTTTTAAACATCATATAATGTTGAGATATATATTTCATTGATATACATTTAATGTCATCCTAAGGATATTTTAGCGACTGACAATTTTTGATGAAAAACTTTTCTTTAGCACTGACTGATGGCGCTAGTAGATCTTTTGTTGAATGTGCTCTTCTAAAAAATATATTTTTATATCAATTTTTGAGACTTTGAGAATTGAAAAGTCATAACTTTACAAAAAATTGTTGATCTTTTTAAATCTAATTTTTATAAAATGTATTGTAAACTAATTAATGCAAATTTTGTTTCTTTTAACGGAGATTTTAGAGACTTGATAAATATACTTTTATAAATATACTTTTACTTTTAATCGATGAAAAGAAATAATGGTTTCGTTTACTTAAAATTATTCATAAATATTATAACTAAAACGCTAATTTTGCAAAGAAATTTAACAGTTTTTAGTTTATTCAAATATACAGCAAAAGAATTTTTATTCTAAATTTGCATTTATTATAAAAGTAGTTAAATACTAGTTCTTATATATAAAATACTATATCCTAAATAAATATCATAAAAAGCCAATTACTAAAGAAAATGTTATTAATTTAAATTTTATACTTTTATTTTTATAATCGATAGAATCTGTTTTTACACTTAAAAAAGGCAATATTCTCTCTTACAAAAGCCACGTAATACTATTTACTAAAAGATTTCACGTACATATACACGCACACGTACACGCCATGCAAAACTTTGCAATTTAATTTTTATTCATACATTTTTATCTGTAATAGAAGAAATCTTTTTATAAAAGGATAAAAAGACAACTTTCTCTTACATAAAACTCGCTTAATAATATTGCGATATAAAAAGCCACTTGATGGAAAGTGAGAATAATTATCAGAGTCGAAAGATCTGGAAGTCCGTCGCAACGCGTTATCACTCTCATCTCATTTCCGTGGACGAACCAAAAGCGGTCGTCGTGTAATTGTTAGTGATACTGTGTTGTTACGCGTTCCACAATTATTTGTGGCGCGCGTATTCGAGCGTGGCGAATGGTAAATTAAAATTTTCGCGCGTCAGCCAGATGCGAAAGTATTTTTTTTTTTTTTTTTTTTTTTTTTCGTTCGCGGAATTCGATAACCACCCATGGCGGAAAACATGTAATTTTGCCGATAACATATTTTTCTATCGCCTTCATCCCATTTCGAAAAAAATAGTTGTAGCGTGACTATCGTCCGTGAAAAAATGCGAATTGGAAGGTGTAAAAACATGTTATTTTTGTTTACCTATCTCACACTAATTATTTTGCGCCATTCGAATTAATTGCACCTGTATACGAAAGAATTAATGAAAAATTGATTTACGAAACGATTTAAATTACAAACGTGAAAAGATCACACTGCAAAATATATGATAAAAATAGTGAATAACAACAATAGTGAATCTAACAACTTAATTAAAATATTTTTAGTTCGGACTTTCAGAATAAATTTTACTCTAAAAAAATAGTGAAATTATATTAATACTCATGGGAATATTTTCCTGATGATTTCTACAAAATAAAAATTTCATTTAACATTTTTTTCATGTGAGTGAAACTCAATTTTTTGAATTTAATATAAAATAATAAAATCTAACACAACCTACCTAACTAATTAATATACTTTATATAGTTTATTTATTTTTAGAATAAGAGCTATTTTAAAAATGATAAAATCAAAATTAACGTTTCTCGTGTTTAAAAAAAAAAAAAATAAGAATTTCAAGTACTTAAAAATTTTTTCTTTCGAACGTATCAGCGAAATTTTTCATCCACCAGTTAGCTTAAATTAGTTAGTTGAAAATTTTAACTGTCCGGATCTTCAGAGCGTTCTCGACGTTTTATTATTTCCTTTTTGATAACTATCTCGCTTTCGGTGACCCACACACGACACGACGTGATCGTACGATCACGTGTATGTGTACTAGTGAGTGTATTTATGTGCAGTTAATGGTGGAAAGAAAACGTTATCTACAGGGAGGCGGGCGAGCCGCAGTTCGTGTATCATACGTTCCATTCCGTACCGCCCAGTACGCCTTGTACCTTAGGTAGGGCCGAGAGAGTTCGCAGAGAGAGAGAGAGAG